TGAACTAAAATCACAGACTTCACCACTATACTATTTGTCCATGTAACCAAAAACCACTTATATCTGAACCAGAAATAGAAATATATTAATTAAATTTTTTGAAATATTAAAATGGAAATATATTAATTAAAAATAATAAAACAGTTGATTTAAAGAATTTGTCTAATATTTCCAATGCTTTGGTTTCCTCAAAGGTGGTTTCCATTAATATTTTCGCCTTCAAATGGGCCACAGATTCTTCTTTCCTTACATTTGTTATAAGTTTTTGTAATAATTTTGAGTATTGTAATGTAAGAACTCTGCAAATCAGACCATAGTCTGCCATCCAAGGGTTTGCTGTTGCTGTTTCATATAGATTGCCTTTGTTTACTTATTTAGCATTTTATCAAAATTATTTTTGTAAAGTCTGTTTTCTTTGTTGTGTGGTGCCACTGTAGTATGTGTTCCATTAGCTTAGGGATCACCTAGTGTTTTTACAACGTTTCCTTACATGTTTGGTGCAAAAAAACCCACTTCAAAAACTAATAAAAAAATGTACTTTCATAGTCTTTACTCCTTGGCCAAGTTTATGTGTGCATTTTTCCAATACTGAGCTTGGCCATTTACAGTTGTTTCTTACCTTTTATTTCCTGCTTGTGCAGAGACCAAAACCTAGCCAGGGGTCTCAAACACTAGGGTCTTCTCAGGCCTTTTGTGAGAAAGTGTTCAATTTTGTGCATGTATGTTTTCTTGATTTTCTGGTATACACAGAGTTTTAGAAGTCCCTAGACCCCGAGTGTCTCCTGCAATCTTCTCCAAAAGATTTTCAGTCTGTCCATTTCTTGTCTAAACTGTCGTTCTTTTTTCCAGGTTGCTGGAGCCAATACTCATGTTTTTAAACAATATATTCAGAAAAAGCTTCCAAGCAATGTGCCCCAGCCTGGGACTGCTGCAAAAAGGATGCAACAAAGGCAAGCTAATAGTGCTCCCTCTGACACTAGAAATGTGCATCAGGAATACAGGTTGCTCTTATGGTTGCCACCAATCTTAGTTGTAGAGATAGTAGATGAATTATTTAAAATACCACAATACTCTTTTACTGCAACACAGCAGCTTCTAACTTTATCAAGTAATCCCCTGATTGTTTTAAGTTTTTCACCGGATCCAAGAGTTTAGCAAGAATTGATTTTGACATTTTTTCCATGCTCACTGATTGTGAGTGAAGACTTATGACGCTCTGGAGTCCCTTACTTTGCTATTTTTAGTGACACCTGAATTGTCAATGTTTAAATAAAACTCAAAATATAAAATATTAAAATGGCTAGGTGGAGTGGCTCACACCTATAGTCCCAGCACTTTGGGAGGCTGAGACGGGCAGATCAAGAGGTAAGGCTTTCGAGATGAATGTAGCCAACATGGTGAAACCCGGTCTCTACTAAAAATGCAAAAATTAGCCAGGCATGGTGGTGGGCACCTGTAATCCCAGCTACTTGGGAGGCTGAGGCAGGAGAATCATTTGAACACAGGAGGCAGAGGTTGAAGTGAGCCAAGATCACGTCATTGCACTCCAGCCTGGGCAACAGAGAGAGACTCCATCTCAAAAACAAAACAAAACAGGAAAACAAAGCAGAATAAATGCAAGATGACCGAATAGGAATAGCTCTGGTGTGTAGCTCCCTGCGAGAGTGATGCAGAATGCAGGTGATCTCCACATTTCCAACTGAGGTACCTGAAACTTCTCACTGGGGCTGGTTGGACAGTGGGTGCAGCCCAAGGGATGCGAGCTGAAGTAGGGTGGGTCACCACCTCACCTGGGAAGTACAAGAAACAGGGAAACTCCCTCTTCTAACAAAGGGAAGCCATTAGGGACTGTTTCCGGCACACTGGCCCAGTTACTGCGCTTTTCCTACAAACTTCTCAACTCAAAAACCAGGAGATTCTCTCTGATGCCTACAACACAAGGGCCCTGGGTTTCCAGCACAAAATTGTGCGGCGGTTTGGGAAGACACCGAGCTAGCCACAGTAGTTTTTTTTTCCTTACTCCAGTGGCACTTGGAACACCAGCAAGGCAGAATTGTTCACTCCCCTGAAAAAGGGGGCTGAAGTCAGAAAGCCAAGTGATCTGGCTCAGCTGGTCCCACCCCTATGAAGATCAGTGAGCAAAGACCACTGGCTTGAAATTCTTGCAGCCAAAAAAGAAGTCTCAGCTTGACCTGGCATATTTGAGCTGTGGGGGGGAGGGGTGTCCACCATTGGTGTGGCTTGAGTAGGCAGTTTCAAACTCACCCATGTAAACAAAGTCACCAGAAAATTCAAACAGGGAGGAGCCCACGACAGCTTAGCAAGACTTCTGCAGGCAGACTCTGTCACCAGACTCCCTCCTTGCAGGGCAGGGCATCTCTGAATAAAGGCAGCAGCCCGTCAGGGACTTGTAGATAAAGCTCCCACCTTCCTTGGTGTGCAGAAGCATTTCAGTTTAATTAAGTCCTATCTATTTATCTTTGTTTTTGTTGTATTTGCTTTTGAGTTCTTGATCATTAAGTCTTTGCCTAAGCAAATGTCTAGAAAGATATTTTCTGATGTTAGCTTTTAGAATCTTCATAGTTTCAGGTCTTACAATTAAATTCTTAATCCACCTTGAGTTGATTTTTGTATAAGGTGAGAGAATAGGATCCAGTTTTATTCTTCTACATGTGGCTTGCCAATTATCCAAATACCATTTGTTGAATAGGGTGTCCTTTCCCTACTTTGTGTTTTTGTTTGCTTTGTCAGAGATTAGTTGGCTGTACTATTTGGCTTTATTTCTGGGTTCTGTAATCTGTTCCATTCTTTTACGTGCCTGTTTTTATGCCAGTATCACACTGTTTTTGTGACTATGGCCTTATACTATAATTTGAAGTCAGGTAATGTGATGCCTCCAGATTTGTTCTTTTTGCTTAGTCTTGTTTTGGCTATGTGTGCTCTTTTTTGGCTCCATATGATTTTTATAATGATTATTTTCTAGTTCTGTGAAGAATAACTGTTATTTTTATTCAAACTGCATTTAATTTATAGACTGCTTTGGCAGTATGGTTGTTTTCTGAATATTGATTCTAGCCATCCATGAGCATGGGATGTGTTTCCATTTGTTTTGTGTCCTCTATGATTTCTTTTAGCAGTGTTTTGTGGTTTTTCCTGTAGAGGTCTTTAACACACTTGGTTAAGTATATTTCTAAGTATTTTACTTTTCTTGCAGCTATTGTGAAAGGGGTTGAGTTCTTGACTTGATTCTCAGCTTGATCACTGTTGGTGTAGAGCAGAGCTACTGATTTATGTACATTAATTTTGTATGCAGAAACGTTGTTGAATTCATTTACCAGTTCTAGGAGCTTTTTGGGTGGGTCTTTAGGGTTTTCTAGCTATATGATTATATTACCAGTGAACGGTGACAGTTTGATTTCCTCCTTACCAATTTGGATGCCCTTTATTACTTTCACTTGCTCTGGCTAGAACTTCCAGTACTATGCCAAAGAAAAGTGGTAAGAGTAGGCATCCTGTCTTGTTCCAGTTTTCAGAAGGGAATGCTTTGAACTTTTCCCATTCAGTAGTATGTTGGCTGTGGATTTTTCATATGTGGCTTTTATTACATTAAGGTATATCAATTCTATGCTGATTTTGCTGAGGATTTTAATAATAAGGGATGCTGAATTTAGCCAAATGCCTTTCCTGTATGTTTTGAGATGATCAGAAGATTTTTGTTTTAATTCTATTTATGTTGTGTACCAAGGTGCCCTTTGACCGTCCTTCAGGTCTGTTAACTTTTATTAACATACAACTCTTTAAAATTGTGGTTACTTCTTTTGCTGGTAAGTGGTGGATTTAGCTAAACAAACTAGAATTGAATTTAATAACAGTGATAAGTGACAACCATGAAACAAGGGAGAAACTTCAAAATAGAGATAAAGAATGCTAATGATAATCCTGCTGAACAACAAAAAAAATCAAAATACATTTGGCATTTTCTATTATGAAATCAAAGATTCTATAAGTATGCATCAAAACTGGAAATATATTTTCCCATAAAGTGAAAAGCTACCATTTCTACAATACATATATTTACATGTAACAAGTTATTCTGCAATTAAGCTAGGCAGATAATGGATTACTGCAGTTACAAGACTGGAAGAATAGTAGTTTTGAATAAAACTGTGAAATACTAACACTAGATTTTCTTAAAAATAATATTTTGTACCTTCCCAAAAGCTTGCATATGAAAGCTGTAGAAAAAAGGAGTAGGAAATTAGCAGCAGATAACAGGTTACTGACATTTTCTCAAATTAAAATATACAGAAAATTCAGTGAAACACAATTCAGAAACAAAGAAGAAAGAGTTATTTTCAAAATATGTGAGGTTTTTTAAAGAGCCAATTTTGTTAACAATGATGTATCTTCAGTTTAGAAATCAAGCTACTTTTATAACCAGGAAAACATCTCTCAGAAGGTAAGGCTACCATTTTGTAAGTAAATCTTAATTACATGTTGCCTACCCATTTTAATTTTCACTTTGCTTACAAGCCAGGGAATAGAACATCCATAGTTTGTTGATATGAGTTTGTGTTGTGTCTCTATAAGTATTTTAAGCTAAAGTCTAGGAAGAATGAAAATGTGATCTTTCAGTCAATAATTATGATGATTCTATAATAGACACTAATCATTACTAATACTGTAATTTTAAAAAATGACAGGCCTTGTAGACAAAGTAAAAAATAAAGCATATAATTCTAGTTAAATCTAAACTCCCTTTCTCCAAACCTCTAATTTACCTATTTAAGAATAAAATAATTCAGATGGAAGAGGCAGAGCTAGATGGCTGAATAGAAGCATTCACCGATCAGCTTCTCAACAGGAACACAAAACTGAACAAGTATCCACACAGAAAAGCACCTTTATGAGAACCAAAAATCAGACGAACAAATGCAATACCTGTTTTTAGCTTCATATTCCTGAAAAAGGCACTGAAAAGGGTCGAAAATACAGTTTTCATGCTCACCTCAGCAGCATATATACTAAAAATTAGAATACAGAGAAGATTAGCATGGCCCCTGCGCAAGGATGAGATGCAAATTCGTGAAGTGTTCCATATTTTTTAATAGCCTATCAACCCAAAAAAGTCCAAGCACAGATGGGTTCACAGCCGAATTCTACCAGACATAGAAAGAAGAACTGGTACCATTCCTTCTGAAACAATTCCAAACAATGCAATAGGAGGGAATACACCCTAACTCATTTTATGAGACCAAAATCATCCTGGTACCAAAACCTGGCAGAGACACAACTAAAAAAGAAAACTTCAGGCCAATATCTATGATGAACATTTATGCAAAAATATTTAATAAAATACTGGCAAACCAAATGCAACAACATATCAAAAAGCTTCTCCATCACCATCAAGTAGGCTTCATCCTGGGGATGCAAGGCTGGTTCAACATATGCAAATCTATAAACATAATCCATCACATAAATAGAAACAAAGACAAAAACCACATCACCATCTCAATAGATGCAGAGAAGGCCTTCAACAAAATTCCATAGCAGTTTATTCTAAAAACCTTCAATAAACTAGTTATCAGTGGAACATATCTCAAAATAATGAAAGCTATTTATGAGAAACCCACAGCCAACATCATACTGAATGGGCAAAAACTGAAAGCATTCCCGTTGAAAACTGGCACTAGAAAAGGATGCCCTCTCTCACCACTCCTGTTCAACAGAGTATTGGAAATTCTAGCCAGAGCATCAGGCAAGAAAAAAAATAAATGGTATTATTCCTTTAATAAAAGAGAAAGTGAAATTGTCTCTATTTGCAGATGACATGATTGTATATTTAGGAGACCCCACTGTCTCAGCCCAAAAACTCCTCATGCTGATAAGCAACTTCAGCAAAGTCTCAGGATATAAAATCAATGTGCAGAAATCACAAGCATGCCTATACACCAATAACAGACAAACAGAGAGCCAAATCAAGAGCTAACTAACTGCCATTTACAATTGCTACAAATAGAATAAAATACCAAATCAAAACCACACTGAGATATCATCTCATGCCAGTTATAATGGTGATCATTAAAAAATCTAGAGACAACAGATGTTGGAGAGGATGTGGAGAAATAGGAACACTCTTACACAGTTGGTGGGAGAGTAAATTAGTTCAACCATTGTGGAAGACAGTGTGGCGATTCCTCAAGGATCTAGAAATAGAAATTCCATTTGACCCAGCAATCCCACTATTGGGTATATGCCCAAAGAACTATAAATTGTTCTACTATAAAGACACATGCACATGTATGTTCATTGCAGCCCTGTACACAATAGCAAAGACCTGGAACCAACCCAAATGCCCATCTATGATAGACTGGACAAAGAAAATGTGGTACATATACGCCATGGAATACTACGCAGCCATAAAAAACGATGAGTTCATGTCCTTTGTAGGGACTTGAATGAATCTGAAAACCATCATTCTCAGCAAACTGACCCAAGAACAGAAAGCCAAGCACCATATGTTCTCAATCAGGTGGGTGTGAACAACGAGAACACGTGGACTCAGGGAGAGGGAGCATCACACACAGGGGACACTTGGGGGGGTATGGGAGAGAGTGGGTGGTGGGGAGGGAGGGGAGGGTGGGGAGGGATAACATGGGGAGAAATGCCAGATATAGCATGCACCTAAAGTAAAATAAGAAAAAAAGAGAATAAAATACCTAGGAATACAAACTAACAAAGGATGTGAAGGACCTCTTCAAGGAGAACTGCAAACCACTGCTCAAGGAAATAAGAGAGGATAGAAACAGATGAGAAAACATTCCATGCTCATGGTTAAAAAGAATCAATATCGGGCCAGGCGCGGTGGCTCAAGCCTGTAATCCCAGCACTTTGGGAGGCCGAGTCGGGTGGATCACGAGGTCAAGAGATCGAGACCATCCTGGTCAACATGGTGAAACCCCGTCTCTACTAAAAATACAAAACATTAGCTGGGTATGGTGGG